TGCCGAGCCTGGGCGAGCGCTCGCGCCTCGCGCATGGCCATGGGCTGCCTACTTGGGGGGCTGCATATTGCTCTGCCAAAGATGTGCGTTGTTGAATTCTTTAGTGAAGCTGATCTAGAGAGAAATACCCTAAACTAGGGTACTAAGGAACGTTGAGATCAACGTTACGGGGTAGTGCAGTGTCATCTCCATAGTGTGACGTCGCGATAGTGAGGGAACAGGGTAATGTAAATTACGGGGATGATGGGGGATCACGAAGCTACTCAATTCAGGTAGATCCCTTTTTCAAGTTCACTACACTGACTACGAGGAATTCCCTTTTCAGGTTCAGCCCCGCAACTCTCCTTACGCATAAACCGTGGAGAATTAAAGTACAAGGGAGGAGAGGAGGAGCCTAACTAGGGATACTCTCAGGATCGGGATCCTCTAACTAGGAAAACTCTCTACACCCCCAGAATTGAAATCAGCAGCGCCTGTTGGACCTGATGGGTCCTGAGCCATGACACCCCCCTGCTTACCAAGCACGGGACGGGAGCGAAGACGAAGGGCGCGTACAGATGAGCGCGGGCAGCGACTTTCACGGAGATGGATGCGCTAGGGCAACCATAACCTAGAGAGAAATACAGCACTTCGCCAGCGCGGAGCCTGCGCGGCCGCGTCGCGAGAAGTAGACATGGCCTCTGGCTCTTAGACTCCTAGGGCCCCGGCGCCTGTAGCGTTGCTACGCGACCTCCTGGGTCGTCGCCTTCATAATTGCCAGTGGGGGTGGGAATAGCCGGTGTTGCCGCTCGCGTCGAGGAGCTCCTGTTCGCGTGCGAGGAGCTCCTGTTCGTCGACGGGGAACGGCTCGGGCTCGGTTTGGCGGGGCTTCTTCTTGGAGGGCTTCTTCTTGGAGCCGCACTCCGCCTCGGAGTCGTCCTTCTCGACGTCCGAATCGTCGGGGTCGTGGACGCGCTTCTTCGCCTTCTCCCGCTTCTTCTCCTCGGCCTGCGGTTCTGGGCCTTGGCGGGCTTCTTCGACGGGCCTCGGGCTTCTTCGCCAGGGTGGTAGTACACGAGGCCCTCGGCGAAGTCGTCCGGGCCCTTGACCTCGGCCGCGTCGGCACGCGTCAGCTAGCGGCCCGTGCCGGCTGGCACGGGCCGTTGGGGGATTTGTGTTGGAGTTCCCCTTCCTCTGTCGCTCTCTAGCCGTACTGGCGGCTTAAAATTCGCCCCGTAGGAGGTAACTTACCGTCAATTTGCAGAAAGTATCCTAAAAAAAAGGTCCGCCGATTTCTGACCGCCGAATTTCAAAAGTCCTCCGAGAAATTTCAAAAGTAGGTTGTGCCTAGCAACCTACTTTTGCCTCGATTTCGTCTCTGTCCGTACGCGTCTGGGTGTAAGACGCGGGCTACCAGGGAGGCACTCCGGGCGATGCATGCGCGGGCCGCGGCCCAGGAGGCGTCCGCGCGCGACCCGCCGGCCACGCCCGGCGCGTCCCGGACCTCGCCGCAGAGGAGGAGCTGGAGATGCGCATTGGGCTCGAGGAAGAACGCGTCGAGGAGCGCGCGCGCGGGCCCAACCTGGACCTCCACGACGGACGCCGGCGGGCGGTGCTCGTTGTAGCGCACCTCGAGGACGTCCCGGAGCGCCCGCTCCGAGGCGAAGCCGTCGAGGCCGCCGGGCGCATCGAACAGGGGCAGCCCGAGGAACGTGACGAGGTCGGCGAAGCGCGCAGCCGCGTCCGCGGCGAAGTCCTCGAGCGCGAGCACGTGGAGGTTCGCGCGCGGCACGCGCGCGAGCCAGTGGACGAGCGTCATCGCGTAGAGACTCTTGCCGACGTGGGAGCATATGCCGCTCCTGCAGCTTCCGCGTTGCTCCTGGACGAGCTCGAGCGTGCACGCGCCCACGGCCAGGCTCCGATTCCGCGCGGCCCACTCCGTCGGATTGGCGTAGGGCTTCCGGACGTAGACGTCGTGGGCCCTCGCGAAGAAGGCGCGGGGCGCGAGCCCGGTCCGTTCCGCGACGCACCGCTCGAGCCCCGCGGCCTCGGACGTGCCGTTCGCGAGCGTCTCGAGGAAGTGGATCGACGCGTGGCCGCGGGCGCCGCCGTCGTCGTGGTACAAGTAGCTGCTGATCGTGCGCCGCGCGGGCTCCCGGAGCATGACGATGACCTTCGTCGCGTCCTCGCACGCGCGGCCGCGTGCGGCGACGACGGCGCAGACAGCCGCGGGCATGCCCGGCACGAAGCTGTAGTGGGGCGTGTACTCGATGACGACGCCGTCCTTCTCGACGCGCGCCCGGTCCGCGGCGTCGAGGCCCTCGACGTGGCGCTCCGCGCGCGCGGCCCGGTCCGCTGCGAGCGTCGCCGCGTCGCCGCCGGACGTGAAGTGTCGCGCCGAGGCGGAGAGGCGCGCGCCGCTCAGGGCGCCGGGGAGCGTGCTCTTGTCCATGAGGTGGGCCTCGGCGCCGACCTTGCCGTCGTAGACGCCGACCTCGGCGACGAGCGGGTGCGCCAGGAGGTACTGGATCATCGACGACGTGCCGCACTTGCTCACGCCGATGAAATAGACCGCGGGCTTCTCGAAGGGCGCGACGCCGCGCGCCCGCGCGGCGGCGACGGCAGCCGCGGGCGTCTCGGAGCGGCCCAGGCGGCGCCGCGCGGCGCCGGCCGCCACCGGGGACCAGCGCGCGAAGCCACGCGTCGTGACGCGCCAGCTCGATAGGCCACGGACGTCGAAGCTCGCGAGGTCCATGCCCCCAGGCTCCTTGGACTCGTCCATCCAGATGCGGTAGTGGAACATGGCCGCCTCGACGACGCCCGCGTCGGCCGCGGACGCCGCCTCGACCTCGGCCCGCTCGCCGCGGCCGTCGCTGACGACGGCGCGGATGCGGCCCGCGTCGAGCGTGCTGTTGACGCAGGCCGCGCCCTGCCGGGACGATTGGGTGATCCAGCCCATGCGCAGCTTGCACGGCCGCACGATCTCCACGGGCTCCGCCACCACCGGCGCGGTCCTCGCAGGCCGCCGGTACGCAGCGAGGCGCTGCTCGCAGCCCGTCGTCGCGTTCGGACGCGCCTGGGCGCCGGTGCAGCGCAGGAGCCGGCCCCGGTGCCAGTAGACGGGCGTCTCGACGTGGTCTGTGAACATGGCGACGACGACTTTCACGTCGAGCTTCACACCGAGGCTCGAGAAGGGAATCGAGGCCAGCGCGAGGGGGTTCTCGAGGACGCGCCTCGACCCGTCGACCGTCGCCGAATCGCCGAAGGCGTCGTTCCACCGCTTGCGGAAGAGGCCCTTCTCGTAGTCCTGGAGCTCGACGAAGATCGCGCACGAGAAGCACGCCTCCGCGGAGATGATCTCCGACGGGCCGCCGCGGGGCACGCGCGTGGGACAGACGCCGAGGAAGTGGCGGTGATTGTTGCCGAAGGGCGCCTCGACCCGCCGGTACTTTTCGGGGCCGAGGGGCGCGGCGGCGGCGGTTCCCCCCGGGGCCGCCGCCGCGGAACCGTTCGCGCGCTCGGCCGCGTCCAGCAACAACTCGATGCGCCGCGGGAGGTCCACGGAGAGGTGGCGGCACCGGACCCAGCGGAGCAGCGCCGGCGGCGGCTCGTGCACCGCGGGCCACCGCGGGTCGCCGTCCCGCCGCCGGAGCCGGAACAGCGAGAACTGGCCCCGCGCGAAGACCCGCACGGCGTCGGCGTCGAAGCCCCAGGTGACGATGTCGTACTCGGACGGGTTGCTCCGCGTGAGCCACGGGTCGAGGTCCCCGAGGACGATGTCGAAGTCCGTGTAGGTCGCGTGCGTGTAGCCTCGTCGGACGAGATCGTGCCAGAGCGCCCAGAGCCACACGGGCTTGAGCTCGACGAGGTACGCCGGCGCGAGTGCCAGCACCTTGGACACGTTCCGGCGCAGCGCGGCGGCGGCCGGCGACGCGGCGTCGAGGTCCAGGCCCGACGCGAGCCCGCTCGCGACGGCGTCCGCGACGCCGCCCCGCCCCAGCGCGACGACGTTGACGCCCGTGCCGGACGCGCAGACCGGCGGCGCGATGGCCGCGTCGTCCACGTAGATGAGCAGGTCCACGACGTACCCGCTCACGCGGTAGCGGCGGCCGCCCGACAGCGACGCGCACATCTGGCCCACGATGCCCGGCATGGGCGCGTCCGCAAACTCGGCCTTGTTTGCCCACATGCCGACGAGGGCCACCTTCACCGCCGACGTCGCCGTGATGTGTGATGTGTCGTCACCTTTCGCAGCAGGCGCGCACGCGACCGCGGCCAGCGACGCCACCGCGCGCCACAGCATCGTGATGTGCCGTCTGAGGCAACCCCAATTGGACGACCGCGTAGGTCTGCGTCGTGCCACCTCGACGCCCTGGAGCGTGGAGGCGACGTCCCCCGGCGAAGAGAGGGTTTTTCTGCGAAATTCGAAGATTCCGTTCACTCGCCCTTTCGTAGTACAGGCGTATATAAACCTAGCCTAATACGGCCGCGGTACCCGGAGGATTCAGAGTCCCCGGCGATGCTCCGATGGTCCCAGAACCTGCTGATTTTGCGCACACGCCGAGGCCGAGACAGGATGCGGCCCCCGACAAAAGAACGGCGCAGTTTGGCGCCGAGCGTGTCGAGTACCAGAGCCTCTCCTAGAGGCTCTCAATATCATATGATCCTAACTTGAACTAGGATAGTAGGTAGCGGGAGCCCCTAGAGCCACTGGGTGGCACTGATGCTCGGCGCGATCGGTGCCGTTGGACGTGCTTCTTTTGGCGGGGGGCGCACCTTGTCCCCGCCTCGGCGTGTGCACAAAATCAGCAGGTTTACGTCGAACCGCGCCGCGTCGCTCGCGGGCCGCACGTCCCCCGAGGCCGCGGCCTGCATCACCGCCGCGCTCGAAGGCGCGCCCGACTACCCCTGGATGCTCGACCTGTCGCGCGCGGAGAAGTAATGCGCGCGGTGGTCGTGCCCGGGCGACGCGGCGCGGGGACCAAGGACAAAAACAAATTCTGAAAACGAATAACCCAGGGTGATACTTCCCTTCAAGCAAGCGTTTCGTTGAACATTTATTTACGACTCCCAACCCGAACCGGCGGCCCCACACCCTGAAAGTGTCTCAAATGATACGATTAGCGCGCTATTTCACTGCGCGCGCCTGGCGGGGGCAATAATTCAACGATTTTGCCAGCATTCAGTTCGGCGGTCGACCCGCGCGCGCGTGGTTGACGGAGGACCTCTATGGCACACTACGGCCCCCCGGCCAGGAATAATAAATAAATACTTCTATGGGCGCGCCCAGCCCTATGGTTGTTTTTGTCCTTGGCGGGGACCGAGGTTCCCCAACGACGCGATTGAAGGAAAGTTGCAGTGATGAGCCTGAGGCACGTATAATTATGCCCGGGGGGCGATGTGTGACGCTGCCCTTGCTGGTCGCGCTGGCGACATTGCCAGCGCGTACCAGCTGCAACGGCGGCTGCAGCGACGCCACGCACACGCGTCTCGACGTCACGCTCGTGACGCAATGCAGCGTCGACCGGCTCTGGGTCGTCAAGAAGCTCTGCGAGCGCTGGCACGGCCCGCTGTCGCTGGCCGTCGGATCCGCCCCCGACGGCGAGCCCGTCGAGAGGCTCCGGGGCCGCGCGCGCGACTACATGGCCCTCTGCACGGAGCGGCACGTCGCCGTCGTCGTCGCGCCCCTGCGGCCGTACCCGGTGAACGCGCTGCGGAACCGCGCGTGGGCCATGGCGACGACGTCTCACGTGCTCCTGCTGGACGTCGACTTCTGGCCGAGCGTCGGCGCGCGGCGGCGCATCGTCGGCGCGCTGCGGGCGCTCCCGGAGTCGGGGGAGCGCCGCGCGCTCGTGCTGCCCGCGCTCGAGCTCACGCTGCAGCGTTCGGAGACGAAGAACCCGGCCAAGGTCCTCGAGCAGGCCGAGTTCGAGCGGCAGATCCCGTCGTCGAAGCTCGGGCTCCTGCGGTGCGTGGCCAACGGCGCCGAGGGCGGCGCGCCGCTGCGCTGGAAGCCGACGCGCGCGAGCCACTGGGAGGACCCGATCTCGGACCCGCAGCACCGGCGGCGGCGCCTCGCGACGCAGCGCATCGGCGGCGGCGCGAGGCACCCCGGGGCGCACCGGACGATCGTCAAGCGCGTGCCCTTCCGGCCGACGATGAAGCCGACGACGCCCGCGCCGGCGATCTCGCCGGAGACGCTCCGGAAGCGCGCGTTCCTCCACGCGCTGCCGGCGCTCCTCGAGAACACGGCGCACGAGGCGGAGCCGAGCAACCTGCGCTGCTCCGGGTTCCACCACCACGGCACGACGCGCTTCATGGACTGGCTCGTCGACGCCGACGACGCGCCGCCGCGGCGGCTCGACTGCTTCCTCGGGAACCACTTTGAGCCCTTCGTCGTCGTGCGGCGCTGCGACGAGGCGACGCCGCGCAACGGCAGCGCGCGCGTCCCGCGCTTCGACGAGCGCTTCACGGGCTACGGCAAGAACAAGATCGAGTGGATCTCGAGCCTCCGGGGCGCGGACTACGCGTTCTACACCGTTGGGGCGGCTTTTGCCGTCCATGTGCCCCACCTCCAGTCCGCGGCGAAGAAGGAGTGGGACCGCAGCTTCAAGAAGAAGAACGCGACGCACCGCGCCGCGGGGACGCTCGGGCACAAGGGCTACGTCGACGACCTCTTCAAGGAGCACCTCCGGGGGCTGGGCCTCTACGACAAGGCCGACGTGGGCCACTGGTTCCGCGCGTCCGGCGGCGCCCTCGAGTACACGCGGAGCTCGCTCCGCGCCGACGGCGCGCCGACGCTCCGCGAGGACGACGTCGCGACGCCGCTCTGCGCCGCGTCGAAGGCGACCGTCGACTTCCTCGAGGACCTCGACATGCGCCGCTTCGCCGAGGTCGCCAAGGCGTGCGTGCTGGACGCCGCGACCTGCGCCGCGGGCGGCTTCGCGCGGGAGACGCGGGACGCGTGGCGCGCCATCGCGGACGCGACGCGCGCGCCCTTCCTCGACCGCATGACCGGCGCGCTCGCGGCCGACGCGGACGCCGAGGCGGCCGCCGCGGCGGCGGCGGCCGCCTCCTTAAGCTAATGGAGGGGAAACAAGGCCGATGTTGCACTGCAACGCCAAGTGCAGTGTCGTCGAATCTGTCGCATCTCCAGGCATCTCGAATACTGCGCTTCCGGCGGTCTCGTCGTCGCCTGCCGTGCGCCAACTCCCAACCCCGCTCCATCGCATCCAGGTCGCCCGACCAGGTCGCGCCGTCGCACGGGAGCTCCCGAACCCCCCCCCCCCCGCGGGCCCCGAGCCGGCGCCCTGTTCGGCGCTTAGGTCTCGGGCGGTGGTCATCCCGCGAGCGCCTTGGCCTTCCCGAGGTCGACGCCGCCCGCGTCGAGGTCGTCGACGACCTCGTCGGCGATGGTGAAGTCCTCGCGGTCCGCGTAGGACGACTTGGTGATGATGCACTTCATGCCCGCGGCCTTGGCGGCCGCGAGGCCGATGGACGAGTCCTCGATGACGACGCACCGCGCGGGCTCGAGGCCCATCGTCGTCGCCGCGAGCAGGTAGACGTCGGGCGCGGGCTTCTTGTTCGCGACGACGTCGCCGGCGAAGATCTGCAGCGCGTCGTAGCGCTCCCGGCCCATGAGCACGCGGACGAGGTTCCTCACGGCCTGCTCGGACGACGTCGAGCACACGCCCACGGGGACGCCGTCCGCGAGGGCCTCGTCGATGAGGCGGAGCACGCCCGCGCGCAGCGGGATGGACCCGGCCTCGATGAGCTCGTTGAAGATCGCCGTCTTGCGCAGGTGGAGCTCCTTGACGAGCGCCCGTCGGTCGTCGCCGCCCGCGTAGCCCGCGGGCCAGCCGGCCGCGTCCCAGTGGGCCGTCATGCGCTCCTTGCCGCCGCCCGTCTCCAGGAGCTGGCCGTACTTGTCCACGGACCAGTCGTCCGCGAACCCCTTCTCCTTGAAGGCGGCGTTGAAGGCCACGCGGTGGCCGTCGGGCTCCGTGTCCGCCAACACGCCGTCGCAGTCGAAGAGGAGCGCCGAGATGGCCATGGTCGCCAAGGGCCGCGCGGCGGCGCGGCGCGTCGCCGGCGCCAGCGTCGCGCGCGGCACGAGCGCCGCGGCGACGGAGAGGACCGCGAGAGATCGCGCCGGCCCAGCCATTGTAAGGTCTCAGAGTGATGCCGACGATGCCCGCCGCTCGGCGCTCGGCCGGTTGGGTGTACGCTGCGGGCAGCCCGCGCGCGCCGCTCCCGCGCTGCGATCGGCGCCTCGGGCTCGGCCGGTCGGGCGTAGGCCGGTGGCGGCCCGGTGGCGCCGCTCCCGCTCGAAGCCGGGCCGGTAGCGGTGCGCCATGGGCGCGGCCGAGTCCGTGCCCAACCCGGACCACCGGACGCTGCGCATGATGGAGTTCATGCAGATCGGCGTCAAGGAGCTCGGCGTCTTCTGGAAGCACTTCCGGAAGGGCGACAAGGAGATGCTCGGCGTCATCCAGCTCGACGACTTCTACGCGCTCTTCCACGAGAAGCGCAGTATCTTCGGCGACGGCCTCTTCGACCTCGCGGACGTCCACCACGCGGAGGAGCTGGATTTTGGCGAGTACCTCGTCGCGGTCATCACGTACTGCCTCTTCGAGCCGCAGGAGATCCTGCGGTTCTGCTTCTACATCTTCGACCGGGACAAGAACGGCTACATCATGCGCGAGGAGCTCGAGCTCATGCTCCGCGTGCTCTACCACATCGTGCCGCCCGACGAGTTCACGGGCAACACGCGGAACGCGCTCGACCTCCTCGAGTTCCACGACGACGAGAAGGTCGACTGGCGCGAGTTCAACCGCTTCCACGTGCTCTTCCCCGCGCTCTTCTACCCGGCGTTCCGCATGCAGGACACGATGATCAAGATGACGATGGGCCAGCGGTGGTGGGACAAGAAGAAGCGGAAACTCTACGACGAGAAGGTCCGGCGGGACATGATCGAGCAGCTCGCGCTGCGCAAGGAGCACACGCGGCTCCTCAAGCTCCGGGAGAAGCGCGTGCGGAAGAACATGGGCCTGCTCCGCTACGTGTGCTGCCCGGCGCAGCGCGCGGCGTTCCGGAAGCTCTTCCCCGTCGACGACGCGGAGGCGGAGCGGAGCCTGTCCGAGGCGGAGCTCCAGGCGCAGAAGGCGAAGCAGCGCGAGGTCGAGCGCCGGCTCCGGGAGCTCGATGCGAAGAACCCGGAGACGCCCGCGTACAAGGACTACCAGAAGCGCAAGACGCGCATCGAGTACGCCCAGCTCCACTCGGACCCCGTCCGGCCGCGGCGCCTCCCGCACGAGCGCGCGGACCGGGCCAAGGCGCGGCGGGCGGACAAGGTCGCCGCCGCGCGCGCGGACTAACGGCGGGCCCACCTGGTTCAGCGCTACTTCAAAGTAGGACTTCAACTGTATTGCTCAACGGTTGGTTGAGCGCAACGTCGTCCGCGGACTCATGGCGCATATTACCTTGTTCAACGTTACTTCAAAGTCGGACTTCATGAATTGCCCAACGGTTGGTTGAGCCCAAGTCGTCCGCCCCGACGCCGGCTGCGGCATTGGTTAACCAGGGCGCCCTCGCCCCGGGACACTCGACTGAGCGAGAGCCCGCGGCGTCCCGCGGGGTCTCTCGCCTCCTCTTAGTCACCATAAGTCGCCGCGAGAAACGCGAGCGGGCCGCCACGGGCGACGACGACGCCATGCGCACCCACGCCGCGACGACGAGCGGCGGCCCTCGGAAGCGCGCCTGACCCGAGCGAG